TGAGCTGCCTGCAACTCATAGCAACCCTTATGTACAACAGCCCTAAACCTGCTCTATCCCTTGCCAATCTTACTGTCTCTGACACACCTATCCCCTATTACCCCAATGACTGAATGAATCCATCTCTTTTTTTTTATGTTTGTACCATCAAATCTGACGTCCCTCTCCACAGACTGATCCTGCCTTGCAACATGCCCAAAGTATGTCAGACGAAGCTTCAGAATCCTTGCCTCCAAGAAGCAGCCTGGTCTCACCCTCTCTCGGATGAACCTGTTTGTTCTAGCAGTCCATGGTATAGTCAATATTCTCCAGCACCACAGCTCAAAGGCATCAACTCTTCTATCATTCCTAGTCACTGTCCATCTCTCTGATACACAGCAAGTAATTGCAGAGACCATGGCCTGTATCAGGTGCACCTGAGTCTACAGACTGACATTGTTGCTCTTCAGTACTTTGCAGAGGCCTCTGACAGCTGAATTTCCCAATGCAATTTGTCTTTTAATGTCCTGCCTGCTGGTACCAAGAGTGTTGATTGTAGAGCCAAGCAAACGGAAGCTTTCGACAATCTGAATCTCTTCACCATCTATCATGTTGCTGCCAATCGGCCCAGTGGTGAGAATCTTTGTTTTCTAAATGTTGAGCCTTAATCTATATTGAATGCTGCAGTCCTTGACCTTCTGTAGCAAGCGCTTCAGGTCCTCCTCAGTTTCAGCAAGCAGGGTTATGTCATCTGCATAACACAGATTGTTGAGTCTACCTCCAATCTTGATGCCACATTTCTTCTAGAGCCCAGCTCCTGGGTAATCTGTTCCACATATAGATTGAAAAGATACGAAGATAGGACACAACCTTGACAGACACCCTTTCCAATTTTGAACCATGCAGTGTCTCCTTGCTCTGACGACTGCCACCTGGTCCAAGTATAGGTTTCCCATAAGCACAATCAAGTGTTCTGGGATTCCCACTCTTATCAGAGTCAGCCACAGTTTGTTGTGATCCGCACAGTCAAATGCCTTTGCATAGTCAATGAAGCACAGATAGACATTCCTCTGGTATTCCCTGCTTTCAGCCAAGATCCATCTCACATTAGCTATAATATCCCTAGTGCCACGGCCTCTTCTAAACCCAGCCTGCACTTTAGGCAATTCTCTGATGATGTGCTGTTCCAGTCATTTTTGGATAATCTTTAACAGAATCTTGCTTGCAAGTGATATCAATGATACTCTGATAATTTACACACTCTGTTGGATCACCTTTGGAATAGGAACAAATATATATTCCAGCAAAATAAAAATGTTCAGTAATACTCTATGTGATACTCCAGTACTTACTGTGGTACAGTACTCCAGTGACAGAAGTGTTACTTGATAATAGTTTTCCCTCAGACTGCTAAAGCTTCTCTCTTAAGCACCATAATTCTGTATTTTATAACCATTTTAAATAAAAATATACACACGTGTGTGTGTGTGTGTGTGTGTGTGTATGTATGATTACAATCTACAATCATTTCTTAAGCAGGACATAACCAATAAAAATTTCACTACTGCTTGATAATAATCATCATCATGAAATACACAGTAGTCTGTATCAATAAAAAGACAGTTGGTTATTCCTACCACAAAACCATGAAGTGTTCCCTTGCTGTGTTCAACCAACAACCCCCTGGTCTAGAGATAGGTTTCACATGAGCACAATTAAGTATTCTGGGATTCTCGTTTTTCTCAATGTTAGCCATATTTTGTTATGATCCACACAAATGCCTTTGTATAGACAATAAAACACAGACAGATATTCTTCTGGTATTCTTACAATAGGTAGTATTACCTTATAGCTGTTAAGAAAATCCTAACAGAAATGTACCTACTTACCATTGCTATCCATAGGACAATATATTCATCTACAAAATTACTAAAGTACTGGTCTAAGAATAAAAGACCTGGCCCAATAAACACAGTATCTTGAAGGTACAGTTCACTTTTGGTCATGTGAGCAATCTACAAAAAAAGAAAGATCATCATTATTAAATTTATATGTTTTAACTTTTATTTTCAGCACTGAGATTGAAAACTTTAGTATTGAGACAAGTAAGGATAAAGAGACCATTTAATCTCATTTTATATTTGAAATACTAAGTCTAAAGTTTCTCAAATTCATGACAGGTTAGCCTGTTAGAAGTTTTCAGTATTTAAATTCCTTGATATAAAAAAATGTTTAATAATTAAAAAGAACTTTTATACTTAAAAATCTGTCTCTCTAAATATAAATGAACTCATATTACAGCTTTACTTTGCACACAAATAGCTAACCATTTATAGTGCTGCTGCTGTTGGTGATTGCCATCGAGTTCAACACAACACACGACCCTATCAGCCCAAAGCCTCAAGCCTTTCTATAACCAGTATCATCAGAATTCATTGAGTTTCCACAGGCATGCTGTTTGGGAAGTGGATTACACTCCTGCTTCCAAACATGTCTTAAACTGAGAGCTACACTGAACATTGTCCACCGTTATGGCATTTGACACCTTAATGGCACAGGGTTCAGCATCACACAACCCCAGGTTACCTCACTATAGCATATTGACAGAGGAGTGCTGTACCACTTAGATGAATGTTCTTACAAAAGAATAACAACCAACTTTTAAATACAAAAGCCCTCCCCACGGTCTTATTGACTCTAAACAAGAGGCTTAAATAAAAAACAATATAGTTTGATGATGATGTTATGTGCTGTTGATTTGACATACAGTGACTTTATGTACAGCAACTCTGAAGCCTTCCTATCCTGAACCAGTCTCACTAATTCTGACATACCAACCCCCACTGTCCCAGTCACTGTAATCATTTCATCTCCTCTGGGGTCTTCCTCTCCTGCATGGTCCCGTCACCCTTCGGAGCATGATGGCCCTCTCCAGGGACCAGTCTCCTGGCCATGTGCCCAAAGTATGTGAAGCGGAGCTTCAAAACCCTAACCTCCAAGGAGAGACTTGGTTTCACCCTCTCCAAGGCAGACCAATTTATTTTCTTGGCAGTCCATAGTATGTTCAAGACTCTTCTCCATCTATTCTTCTTCTGTCATCTTTAGTCATTGTCCAGCTCTCTGAAGCATAAAAGTAATTGAGAAGACCATGGCCTGGGTTAGGCACACCTTTGTCTCTAAACTAACATCATTGCTTTTCAACACTCTAGATTGAAGTTAAGGAGCCGAGTAGAAGACTTCAAAGGGCAGTTCAGAAAGACAAGGCAAAGTATTAAAATGTGCAAGGAGCTGGAAAATCAAAAGGGCTGAACTCGCTCAGCATTTCTGAAGCTGAAGGAATAAATATAAAGAACAAATATAAGCGATGAGTCGCAATGCTTAAGGATGCTATGGGCAGAATGATTCAGGAAGCATTAAAAGAAGATGGAAGGAGTATACAGAGTCATTGTATTAAAAAGGTCCAGGAATTGACAGAATACCAACTGACGTATTTCAGCAAACAGATGCTGTCCTGGATGTGCTCACCAAGTTGTGCCAAGAAATCTGCAAGACAACTACTTGGTCAACTGACTAGAAGAGATCCATATTTATTCCCATTCCAAAAAAGATGACCCAACAGAGTGTGGAAATTATCAAACAGTATCACTAATACACACACTAGTAAAATCCTACTGAAGGTTATCCAGAAACGACGGGAATAGAATACTGGCAGAGAACTACCAGAAATATAAGCTGGGTTTAGAATAGGTCGTGGACTAGAGACCTTTTTCCCAGTGTCAGATGGATCTTGGCAGAAAGAGAGTACTAGAAAAATGTTTATCTGTGTTTCACTGACTATGCAAAGGCATTTTTGACTGTGTGGATCACAACAAATTGTAGCTAACCTTGAGGAAAATGGAAATCCTAGAACACTTGATTGTGCTTATGAAAAATCTATACTTGGACCAAGAAGCAGTCTTCAGAGCAAGGTTCAGAATCAGCAAAGGAGTGCGTCAGGGATCCATCCTGTCCTCATACCTTTTCAGTCTGTATGCCAAACAGATCGTTGGGGAAGCAGAGCTTTATGAGGAATGTGGCATCAGGATTGGAGGAAGACTCATCAACAGCCTACAATATGCAGATAACGACAGAATTTTGTTGAAACTGTAGAAGACATAAACTGCTTGCTGCAGAAGGTCAAGGACTGCAGCCTTCAATATGGATTGAAGTCAACATCAAGAAGACAAAGATTCTCACCACTAGGCCAACTGGCAGAACCATGATGGATGGAGAAGAGATTGTGGTTGTTAGCAATTACAGCTTGCTCGGCTCCACAATCACCTTTTTTTAAAAAAAACAAGTGAATTATAGTTTATTAAACTGGGAATGAAAACGAGATAAACAGAAGTATACAACATTATAAGATTCACGACCTTAAACTCCACTTCTTTCCCCAATCAACAAAGAGTTGGTGGAGATAAGAGACTGAGTTTCTTGGCATAGTGGGTGGGTGGTCTTGAAGTGTGGCGCATCCGCAATGCATTTAAGGCCTGGCTAGGGCCTTAGTGTCGAGTCTTCATAGCGGATGCAGCCAAACTGATCAAAATGGCTGCGACTGAAGCCCTGGGCAGCGATCTGGGTTTGTATCATGAGCTGGGAGGGCTGGCTCTGGCCCTGGTGGAAGCAGTAAAAGGCCGTAAGTGAGGATGGCAGCGGTGCCTAGGCTGCCTATGAGAACCATTGGATTCTCATGGATCTTGCTAAGGAATTTGTCCTTTAAGCTTTCTGAGTCTCTGTAGACACTAGGGCTAAAACCTTCAATAGCTGGGGGCTGCAATGAGTCAAGGGGTCCCTCTGGAGCCACAGGGCTAGGAGTTGCCATGTTGAGAGCAACCACTGTGGGGACACTGAACCCCATCCACTCAACACAATCAACACTCTTAATACCAGCAATCAGGAAATCAAAAGATGAATAGTGCTGTAGATCCTGCAAAAGAAAATCTACCCACTGTATGACAGTCTTGAATTTAGAGCTAAGTGCATTATTTATACCATAAATCATAAAATAATTTCTTACCACCAATTTTTGTGCGACTTTAGCAAAAACACATCCAAACATTAGGGTATAAAGACAAGGATGTTTTTCAAAAACATTAGTTGCAGACTTTTTATAGATCATTATTGCCAGTATGATAATTAGTCCTATGTGGAGTCCAGGTGACAAGACGCTAGTGCCCTAAAGGATAAAGCAGAGAATAAGCTTCATATTTTGACATTGTATCTATTACACTGTACACATTGTAGGGACATCTATTTTGTGCTTAAATCGAGAGGCCCAAAGAAATTTCAGAGCAGTCTTTTTTTTTTTTTTAACTTCCATAGAACCCTAGGATTGCATAGAGGTAAAAAGAGGGCCACTGATGTTTGATACCAGTTTTATACACATACATTTTAAACTAATGGCTAAAAAGAACAATGATTTACTCCATACCAAGTTTTACTACACTGAAGGCTTTCCGCATTTAAAAGCATCCCAAGAACTCTTTTATAATAAGAGTAAGGATATATATTTCTATGTTCAACTACCTGGAAGATGACAATTTGTTAAATGCCATTGTGTTGACTCAGCAATTCTATGAACAACAAATAAAAACTTTGCCTTTATTAAAAAATGTCAGTGATATATTGCTTTTAAATTTAAGAAATCAAATACAGAACCCAATTATAAACAGTTAAATGAATGGAAAAGTGAGCAGTCCAAACCATTTTTAAAATGTTTTTATACTGTTGTTAAGTGCTGCCAACATGATCAAGAGTCACAGCAAGCCCACACAAAAGGAGGCCAGGTCTTTCTCGCAAGGGGATGCGAACTTGGGTGGATTTAAATTGCCAGCCTAGTTAGCAACAAAGCACTTGACCACTGCACCACAGCTTATCCACTATTGTTGTGTACCACAGAGTTGGAACCAACCCATAGTTGACCCTCCAGCGGGTTTTCAGAGGCAGTTAATTGCACAAGAGGGGATTACCCATCCTCCGCGGAGCAGCTGAATATATAACTCTCTACACACACACACACACACACACACACACACACTCTCGCTCTCCTCTAATAAATCCTTTAAAATACTTAATTTATATCCCTCTTACTTTGGCATATTTTTGTAGTATCCCTTTATAGTTTACCATAAGGAAAATTACCATCAAATTAGTACTGTAAAATGACAAAATTAATGCCTTACTGCTATAGTAGATCCATTCTTGCCAACACCACCATGGAGGATAACATGGAAATAATTTGAACAAGAAAATATTGCTCCACCCACTACTCCAAGAACCGGAAAGATCTTCCATTTCAGTTCTATAACGGGTATCTTTAGGAATAAAGGAGAGAAATCATTAAGAAAGATGAATTTCTATTCAGGTGAAGTAATAAAGAAGTATTAAGTCCCTGAGCAGTGAACTATCCTTTTTATTATACTAAACCTTCATCTTCTCAGATATAGGCTTAGGTAGTAATATTTCTTGAAACAGTTTTATTTTTTAAGAGAAAAATCAATTCAACAAATTTGGTTAAGTTTGTTTACTTAATTATTCTTAAGTGTTTAGTCTTACAAGCCTTCATCTGACATAAGAAGAACATAAAAAAGGATAGCTCATTTGAATTTAAAAACCCAAAAAAGGCAGAATCATGGAGAAAGCAGAGACTAAGCTCTCCATTAAAAATGGGGAAAAGTATCACAACAGGTGTGCATGCAAAAATCTTGTGTAGTTAATATGCAGGATTAAGTCTCTAGCAATATATTTACCTGTTGGTCAATTGCTGTTCAAGAAAATTTCCAAAGGCAGCACAGGATTTAAAACAAATTAACAATGAATTGCCATAATCTATAGGCTATTGTCTTTTTAAATTAGACTTTGAAATATTCTACTAAAATGTGTGGCAACTACAGGTTAATAAATATGTATTAAAATAATAAAAAATGAAATTTTGCTGAAAATATTTTTTTTGGTGAAGATAAACAGGTATGTTTTCATTCTGTGCTTGAATGAGATTATTTTAAGATTAAATTTCATTTTCCCCCAGTGTTTATATCATCATAACTAAACCAGAATTCTAAATTTAAGACAACCACGTCTGACATATGGTCAGACCTCCTAACTGCTGCTCATCCACTTTCACCTTTTTATGGGTACCAGCTGAGTAGCTACCAAGACACACAATTCCTCTGATATATTATTCTACAGGCCTTTTAGAACATATTCTTGATTCTATCTTTTTTACACGATCACAGGGGAAAAGAATCACTACATAAAATATATATCGGAATATATCTGAACCTACTAAAATGTGACTGGTAATTCTTACACCAAATGTCACAGGGAAACGAGAAGTATATGGCTTAGTTCTTAAAAACAAAGGCTGGAACTGTTTAAATCTTAACTCTTGTATTTACTATGTATCTTCAGACAAATTACTTAACCATGCTAAACCTTAATTTCTTCATTTGTAAAATCAAATGATGACAGAATGAATCTATTTCACAGGCTTGTTCTAAGAGATGAAACAGTGATGGTAAAATGTTTGTTGTCGTTGGAACTGACCCAAAGCTGACCCTCCAGTGAGTTTTCAGAGGCAGTTAATCACGCCGGAAGAGACTGCCCATCCTTCTCCCACAGAGCAGCTGGTGGCCTTGAACTTACGTGCCTTCAGGATTGCAGCACAGCTTCTTGCCACTAGGCCACCAGAGCTCCCTAGTAAAATGTTTATGTACATAATAAATGTTGTATTACTTACTGACTACTTGTATTAACCTCATTAATATTCTCAATATTATAAGCATGAAACGTAGTTAACCTGTGTTACAGGCTTCAGTTGTGGGGATGGAATAATTTTTTTCGTAAAAAATTTTTTCTTCTTTGCAAGCTTAAATTTTTAACACTGGTCTCCCAAGAGCCAAATCTGTAACAAAATACCAGGTCACCAGCCAAACAGAAAAATACCTTCACTCTTGAAAACGTCACCTTACAGTAGTTTATGAAAGATGCAAATCAGCAACTTTTCTTTCCTAATACTGAAGGACAAGTTTCAGATACACAATATCTGTATCTCTCTACTGGATTTGTTTTTTCCAAGAATCTCATGAGACAGATTCTGACCTGGAAAAGGTAGTTCAACTTAATTTTATAGTAAGAAATGTGCTTGTTTTCTATGTGGCAATATATCTATGCACAGGGGGAAATGCCATAAAAAGCTGCAAAGGGTAACGGAATTATTAAATGAAGGAAAATGATTGAAACAGGATAAAGTTAAATACAAGGATTTTTGAAGGAAATGAGAATATTTTTAGAAATGTTTTAAAACACTTTGAAACAGAAATAAAAACATTCCAATTTACCGTATAGTCCCACATTGTTGCTCCTCCAAATGTAGACAACATAAAGATGATTATTAAAGCTACCTGAATTTCCGTTACATCGACTCTAAAGAAGGACAAAATAAAGTGTAAATAAAATTCCTAAATACAGAAATTAGTTAATTACCTATTAAAACACCAAAGATGTGAAACTCTATAAACCAATTCCAAACCCACTGCTATTCAGTTGACTAGAACTCAGAATGGCTGGCTGTCTGGTTTCTGAAGCTGTCCATCTTTATGGGAAAAGGTTGTTTATCTTTGTCCCACAGAGCAGCTGGAGGATTCTCAAGGACAGCCTTGAGGTAAGCAGCCCAATCTGTTATGCATTGCGCCACCAAGACTGTATGTTGCTTTGTGCCTTCTAGTTAAAACCAACTCATAGCTGGCCCTCAACTGGGTTTTCAGAGGTTGTAAACTGCATGGAAAGAGATTGTCCATCTTTCTCTTTTGAAGCAGCAGCTAGATTTGAACTGCCTGCCTTTGGGTTAGCAGTAAAGTCTTTGCCCATCTGCACTCTCTTCTTACAGGCTTAGTTTCTTTTTACCTCTGCTTTCATCATTAAGTTATCCTCTGACTACACTACTGAGTGGGAAAGGCTACAAAAACAATATACAGCAAAGTAAATACTACTTAAGGACAGGGTAAGAATTTGGACAGCATACGTCATACTGTGGATAAGCAGTTTTCACTGAGATTACAGAAGGCTTTTACTTAGGTACTTCTGTAAACTTTGCAATTTTTTAGTTAAACAATTCTGTGTCATTCTTATTATAAGGACAAAATTATAAAAACAACCAAAGGATTTAAGACAAATTCTCAAACACTTCTAAGAAATTTTCACTTGAAAATGAGGAAAATTCCAAGTCATCTTTTTTAAGTTAGTAATCAAACACTGCAACTTTTGGTATCCACCTTTCCCTCAGTGTATATATATAAATATGCCAAAGTTCCTCACACAGAAAAGCCAAAATCATTAACCAACGTTGCCTGTGATAGTCTGCAACCTCTGAAGCTAGCAGCACTTCGATCTTTAATCAAACTAACTGAAAAATTTGGAATTGCTTCTCTGTATTTCCTACTTACCTTACTGTGGTCTGAATTGTGGCCCCTTTATTCTACTAAAATTTTTTAATAGTGAACTTGAATTTGTCAAATCTGAGAAGATATCATTTCATTCATGAACTCATACCATTTCTCTGCGGTAAGATGCTCACATCCACCTTCTTTAAAAGCTTTGCAACATTTTCATTTATTACAGGTTCTCTATTGATTCTCCCCTTGCCAGAAGAACTTGCTCTTTTTTGAGTGGTTCTTCCTTCCTGGCTCACATGAATTCCATATCTTGTATATTCCTTAAACAACTGATCTATATATATACTTCTGTGTCATCGTGATGGAATAGGCCCATACTTGACCCTCCAGCAGGTTTTCAGAAGCAATAAATCACCCAAGAGGAGACTGCCTATCTTTCTCTTGCAGAAAACCTGGTAGGTTCAAAGTGCATGCCTTTGCATTGGTAGTGCCACTCCTTACCACTAAGCCACCGAGCTCCCTTGTCTATAGACCAACAACCACTATATTCAGATCTCCAATCCTCACTGGAGGGCTCTCTGTGAACTCCACATCTTCACAGATGTCTATCTACTTTACATCTTTGTTTGAATACCCCTGGAATATTTAGATGGGAGAGGAAAACGTAGTGTTTTCTAAATACAAGAAAATAAGAAATCCAATAATAAAACCAGAGATGAAGAAAAAAAATTTCTCAGTTGCATAAGGGTAGTTTGGAGAAAAAGATGAGCTTAACATTAATCCTAAAATAAAAGCAGAATATAGATTAAGACATTCAGGATTTACAAACTCAGTAGCAGACAAACCTCCAGGGAGAAATAGTAAAGTTAGTGGGAAAAGGTTAACATAAAATAATGGGTGTTATATGTAACAGAGGAAAGTACTAACATTTACTAAGATTGTATGATGTGTCTTTTGAGTTAGAAATTATTCTCATTCATTGGAGAAGGAAATAGAACATTTTCAGGCCTGCTATCAGAATACTGTTAGAGAAAAATGAAGCTAGAACCAACACTCTTCCTTATTATATGTATGTTATATATTTATTATATGTTATATATTATATATATAT